GGGTGTAGGGAGGAGTGTGGAATATGGGGTTTCTTTGGGGAAGATAAATATGCTCCTAAAGTTGCTTGTGCTGATGGTTACACAACATCCTAAAGCCCGATGAGTTATACACTTTAAGTGCGTAAATTCATGGTATGCGAATTTTATCTCAATCAAGCTGTTACAAGACCAAAAAAAAATCTCAGCCAGAAGTGAGAGGTGCCTGTAGGCTATGCAGGGCTTGGGGACAAATCCAGATGCTCAAATGCTGTTTGTCCACTGATAAGTAAATAGCTTTCCTTATCTGAGCCTCACTGACCCCAAATATAGTAATTAACTACCACCTTAACCATGCTGGGTGAGTCCTCGCCTAGCGCAACGCTTGGCACACGGCAGTACCGTACATGGTAAAAGGAAACCTGGCTTTGCCGTCCCAAAAAGGAGCCAATGAGATGGTGGGATTCATTTTGCAGAAGGTCACACTGTTGGCAAATACAGTTCTCTAAACCATTCTCAGTGTTGCCTCTATACGCAATTCAAATGGGGAAACCGAGGCACGCAGCCCAAGGTCACAGCGCCAGGAAGGGGTGGTACTGGGACTCCAACTCTGACAGCCAGGTTCCAGAGCAAGCAGTGGTAACCACTGCCCCACTGGGTCTCTACCCTAGTAGCAGGACAAAGAGAGGTGGGGAGGGCATCTCAGGGGTGGATATTTATCATGGCGCATCCATTGAGCACCTACTGTGTGTGAGCACCTTGTGGAGGGAGTCAGCCCCAGGCCCAGCTCACAGTCTGGGGGTGGCACGGGCAAACGGACAAAACAGAGTGATGGGAACAGCCCAGGAGGGCTTCCTGGAGGTGGAGGAGGTTGTCCCTTCCTGGAGGGACACCTAAGCTGAGCTATGAAGGAGGAACAAGAAGTGTGCTAGGCCGGGGCACAGGGACCGGGGGTTGAGGGCAGGAAGAAGAGGGGGCGTACAAAGCCCAGAGCGTTCGGAGTGCCCAATAGGAGACAGGGAGTGGTCGTTGGGGGCTGTAGGGGCTCCTCACCTCTGCTCCCTGAAGCCCAGTCACATACGGAAGAGTCACACAGCAATGGTGGCCCCTCTGGCAGTGGGAGGCCTCAGCCTGTCCCTACTGTCCTGAGCCCAATCAACTTTAGCCAGAATCTACACTAAACATGCTCTGGAGAAGGGCAGGGCCCGGCCTGCAGTTTTAGCCAGCGCTCAGCACCCTATGAGGTCCCTACCTGCACTCTCTAGAGGAGAAGTGAGGCTGGGAGAGGGAAAGAATACATCTGTCTATGGGCTCAAGGCCACAGGGGTGAAAAGTCCAGGCCACCTAGCCTCTCTGGGCCCAGTCTCCTCATTCCGGGAAAAGAGATGGCCACAAAACTTCCCCATCTGGTGGTGCCACCCAGGGAATTTATTCTAAGGGAAAAATCCCAATGAGTTTCTGTGAGTCATCGAGGCTGCATTTATAACAGCGGCAATCTGGAAACAGCCTGGAGGTCTGACCCCGGCGCTCACGCTGTCTTCCAAGGGAATGTCACTGCCCTTTGAGAATGACAAGTGAGGTCATTAAAATGTCACTGTGGCCATGCAGAGAAACATTTCAGGCAATGTTAAGAGTAAAACATCAATCCCCAACATGGTATAACCACATGGTTTCGATGTAAAAATCACACAGCGAATGGCCAAGGGCTGGGAGGACCAGGGAGGAAAGAGAAAAGCAAGACATAAGGATGCAGGGGCTGGGAGCAAACCCTATTTACTTCTGACTTGGTGGCTGGAATGTAATTTGTGGTCTAAATAAAACCACAACAAATATCTACAGTGGGCCCCAGGCCAGCCCTGCCAGGTCAGGGCAAGTCCAGGGAGGCTGGTGAGTAGGGGGGTAGGATGGGAATGTACCTGCTTAACTGGAGAGTGAGGGGCATCTGAGATGTGCCCAGCAGGGCCTGGATGTTGGTAGGGGGCAGGCAGGTGGGTGGGCACAGGTGATGGGCACAGCAAGGTGCAAAGCAGAGTCAGACTCCTCTGAGAGTGCGGACACCAGGGAAATGAGGGACTGAAACCAGAGCCCTAGGGCACAGAAAAGGGGGGGAGGGCCCAGGGCATGAAAGGAAAAGCCTCAGGAAGGTGACATGAAATGACGGCAATTGAGACTCATTTATTTATTCATTTCCCGAGTACCAGCCTGGGGACTGTATGGGAAGAAATCCCAAGGGAAGTGAGGTCTAGACTGAGACCAGAAATGAGGAGGAGGATCCTGGAGGAGCTGGAATTACAACAGGTTCCCTTCTATTTACTATTTGCCAGGCTCTGTTCCAAGCACTTCATGTGTATTAACCCACTGAGTCCTCAGAACAACCTTGTGAGGAAGGTTCTATTATTTTCCCCATTTCACAGATGAGGAAGCTGAGGGACAGAGGAGATGTTCGCTGCCAATCTTGCTCCAGATCTGTGCTTGTAACCTCCACAGCAGATCCTAGGACTCAGCCAGGCAGAGGCAGGGAAGTACTCCAGGCAAAGGGAACAGCATGGGCGAAGACCTGGAGCTGGGGGAGAGTTGTGCTTCTGGGCACTTCGGGTAGGTTAGCTCACTGAATCTTCCTAGCAGTCCTTGAGGCAGGCCTCACTACCCCATTTTACAGATAAGTAAGTGGAGGCTCAGAAAGGTTTCATCACTTGCCCAAGGCCTGGCCAGGACTTGGTCCAAGACCTGGGAGCCTGCAGGTGAGAATCCCTGGCTGGGGGTTGAGGAAGGTGGTCCCTGGTGCACCCCTCAGCTCAGCCCTGGGCTGGGAGCGTGCTAGGGCAGGAGCTGAGTGATGGAGAACACCAGCCTGGCAGTCAGGAGACCTGGGCTCATGTCCTGACCCTGTTACTTACTCACTGACCCTTTCCCTCACTGAGCCTCCCTTACCCCATTTGTAATGAGCACAGAAACATAAGGAGAAGAAATGGTGAGGAGTGGTGCCCCCCAGGCACACGGGGAAGGCGGGAGCTGCATCCCTGGTCTGGGTGATCTCTGACTTTAATGTTGTGTGGATCTAACATCAACCTTTCTGGGTTTCCTCTCACTTGGCTACCTGAGAGGCTCCAGGAATGACCCTGGGGAGTGGATTCCATGTCACAGGCTCATCCTGAGGGAGCAGAGGTACATGGGCCTCCTGAGGATCCCCTCAAGTCAAGTGGAGGGAGTCACTTCCACAGAAGAGTCCACTGGAGCAGAAAGATGAAGAGATTTCAGACTGGTCCTAGCCCCGTGTCCCCAAGGCTATGTGACCTTGGGCCAGTCACTGACGGTCCTTACCAGTAAAATAGGGCCATGATGGGTGTCCCACTGATACCCGCACCCCAGGCCTGGTGGGAGGGTCCTGCGAGATGGCATGCTTGCTGCTGGGACTCACCGCTCAGGTGGTGTTCTGCCACGTCCACGGCCATGATGCCCGCTGCGGTGGCTGAAACTAGAAGGGAACACAGTCAGAGAAGAGGGCTTCAGAGGGTCCCCCACCCCAACCCTGTGCCCTGGCCTCCCGGGTGCCCATGTGCCACATGTGTCTCAAATGACGACAACTGAGACTCATTTATTTATTCATTTCCTGAGTACTAGCCAGAGTGTCATCCAGAGCTCACACTCAGCTGGGCCTGGGCAAAAGCAGGTGATTTTTTAAATAGTGTTTTTTTAAAAATGGTGCCTAAAGCTTTCTTTAAGCACACTAAGACTTCAGCTTAAGGTTTCCAGATAAAACACAAGACGCCCGGTGACGTTTGAATTTCAGATTCGTTTTTAGTATAACTACGTCCAAATATTGGAACATATACTAAAAATGCATTCGTTGTTTATTTGAAACGCAAAAGTTGCTGGGCATCCTGTATTTGTATTTGCTAACTCTGGCACCCCTGACTCACTTCCGTCCTACACGGGGCTGACCAGCACCAACTTTTGTTGCTCATTACAGCAGGCCCCTGGGGGGCTCATTAAGCACTACGACGGACCACACAGACAACTGACCGCATATACGAGGGTGGTCCCGTAAGATTATAATGGAGCTGAGATTCCTATCACCTAGTGACTTCATAGCTGTCATGATGTCACAGCACATGTTACGATTGGTTACAGGATTCAGTACAGTAACAGGCTGCACAGGTGTGTAGCCCAGGAGCAATAGGCTAGACCACGTAGCCCAGGTGTGCAGCAGGCTAGCCCATCGAGCTGCGTGTGCGTGCGCTCTGTGATGTTCGCAGAGCAATGAAATCGCCTAATGACGCATTTCCAGTCATTAAGTGACCCACTGCTGCTCTTTGAATGTTTTTGTTTGAAGTGGAAAAGGAAAGGCTGCATTTCTGCAGCATCCTATGCACTCCCCGCCCCATCCTCCACCCTCCAAGGTCTGGAAGCTCATACAAGCCATTACCTAAACCCAGGGACTGCTCATCGCTTTATTGTTGTTGTTGCTAAGAAGTAAATTAGGCTCACAGACATATTCTAAATGGTGCTGGAAAGGGGAAGCCGGGATGAGTTGTACGCGTCTTAGTTCAAGGGACAGGGAAGGACAGGGTAAGCCCTACCCCAGCCTCTGTGGCTCAGAGAGCGAGCTGCAGGCAGGCGCGGTGGGGTAAATAGAGGCGGGGGCGGGGGAGAACTGCAGAGTGCTTGCCAATCAAGGGCAGTGCCTTTCTGTTCCCGGGAATGCCAACCCCACATTGCTGGAACTTCTGGCTCTTTAAAGAAAAGCCTGGATAGTTTATGTGCTGTTTCTTGATTTTTAAATGAAATGTTGCACCAATTCATAAAACATGTAAACACCATTCATGCACAGTGCAAATAAAAAGCTTGCCGTGGCTAGCCTATTTGTCACCCCTCGGAGCATTCTGTGGGCTCCCTTTCGGACCGGGGTGAACATTCTCCTGGGCATTTTCCAGAATCCTGGGATTCTCCCCAGTCTGTGGCTTTGGAGCTAAGAAGCTGAGGTGCCTTGATCCAGGCAGCGTTATCCAGAACATGGGAACACTCGCCTCAAGTCCCAGGGTGGGAGCCCGGAGAGCAGGGCAGACCGGGGCCCAGGGAGGGGCCCTGCCAGGGGCAGACGGCTCCTCGCTCCCAGCTCCCCGCTGATGCCCCCCCTCCCCGAGATGCGGTTGTCATGGCGATGGGAGGGCGGTGCTGGCTCCAAGTGGAAGCTCATTCCTGGGACCTGGGCTGGAGATGACGATGACAATAGCTAACTGTGCCAAGCACTCCTTACACCCCAGCGCAGCCCTAAGCACTTTACATATATATTACCTTATTTAATCCCCTAGCAACCCCACAGGTAGGTACTATTTTGATCTCTGGTTTGCAGAGGAGAGTCCTGAGGTGTGAAGGTAAGGTCATCTGCCCCAGGCCACACAGTAAGAAACTGCTCACCCCAGGCCATCTGGCTCCATGCTCCTATCTCTGTGCCCAACTTGCAGGCAGGCACATGGTTTCAAAAGTTTCCTGAGAATGTGCAGGCCAAATAGGACACTGTGTACAAGCCCAAGGTGGCCCTAGTTCCTGGCAGAAGGGAGTCTGGACATACTGAAACATGCATGTTAATGTGAGCACGCGGGTCCCAGCCTGCCTCTGCCCTGCTGGGAACCTGATAATGCCAGCGGCTTTCTTTCCTGCTCACCTGGCACCAGCTGACTTTGCAAGAGTGGGGCCACACTGCGGAGGCGAATGCCAGCAGCGTAGACTGGGGATGCCCCTGCAGCAAGTACACGTGGTTGGGGACAGAATCTGCTGATCAGACCTCTGGTTGTCCAAGGTCCCCACCCCTCCAAGGCTGGTGCAGCTTAGACCCCGGACTCCCACACTGCCCACCTGCCTCCTCCCTGCCCTCATCACAACCTCCTCCTTCCTTTGCCTAGAGCTGTGACTTCACTGAGGGGGTGAAGGACTCCAGGCACACCCAGGCCAGGAGTTCTCCCAGCAGTGCCCTGTGAAGGGGCAGCCGCCAGAGCACATATACCTGAGAGGAGGGAGGCGAGATCAGCCCCCTTACTAGCTCTGAGCCTCGGCTGTCCCGTCTGTAAAATGGGGCTCCTGACTGCCCTACCAGGGTGCTAGGTGGTGGAATGAGAAGTAACTATGGTTGGGCTTGGTAAACATTAGCTGCGGTGGTCTTGGCCTGACAATTTGTACAAAAGGCCCCCTTGCCCGGCCGGGCGTGGCTCAGCGGTTAAGCATCGACCTAGGATCCAGGCGATCAGGGTTCGATTCCTGGTCAGGGCACATGCCCGGGTTGCAGGCTGCAGCCGATCAATGACTCTCTCATCATTGATGTTTTTAGCTCCCTCTCCTTTCCTCTCTCTGAAATCAATAAAGATATATTTAAAAAAAAAAAAAAAAAGGCCATATTACACACTACACTGGGCAAACCCCACAGGGTAAGGGCTCTGTCCCACTTCAGATGCCAGTTGCTGGTCCCAGGCCACTGTACTTCTGACTGAGTGGCTATAAATTTAGCGGTTCCCATGACAACCCTTCATCAGGTTCAATAATTTGCTAACACAACTCACAAAACTCAGGAACTAACGTTTTTTTTAATTTTTAAAAAAATATATCATTATTGATTTCAGAGAGAGGAAAGGAGAGGGAGAGAGAGAGANTGACTTCACTGAGGGGGTGAAGGACTCCAGGCACACCCAGGCCAGGAGTTCTCCCAGCAGTGCCCTGTGAAGGGGCAGCCGCCAGAGCACATATACCTGAGAGGAGGGAGGCGAGATCAGCCCCCTTACTAGCTCTGAGCCTCGGCTGTCCCGTCTGTAAAATGGGGCTCCTGACTGCCCTACCAGGGTGCTAGGTGGTGGAATGAGAAGTAACTATGGTTGGGCTTGGTAAACATTAGCTGCGGTGGTCTTGGCCTGACAATTTGTACAAAAGGCCCCCTTGCCTGGCCGGGCGTGGCTCAGCGGTTAAGCATCGACCTAGGATCCAGGCGATCAGGGTTCGATTCCTGGTCAGGGCACATGCCCGGGTTGCAGGCTGCAGCCGATCAATGACTCTCTCATCATTGATGTTTTTAGCTCCCTCTCCTTTCCTCTCTCTGAAATCAATAAAGATATATTTAAAAAAAAAAAAAAAAAGGCCCCCTTGCCCCTCTTTTGAGCTGTGGAATCATGTGCGCAGCATAGTTGGCCTACAGATGTTTCACTTTTCTTAAATTAAAGTGAATGGCCAACATTTTTAAATTGGTACATTTCCCATTAAAATGGATTTTCTTAAAAAAAAAAAAAAAGAATTTCCAGCTTCCCTTTAAAAGTTAGATCTGGGGACAGTGGGTCTGTATCCCCTCTAACCCCATAAAATAGCCGGAGCTGGAGCTGAGTAGGCTTTGCCCCCTCAGACAGGGCACTTGCTCAGAGGGCCTGGCACCTCACACCTCTCCATTCACTGCTAAAACCTGATGGCCCCTGGAAACATCTCCATTGGTGAGCCTGTAAGCAGGCCTTCAGATGAACTAGGGGAGATTCAAAAAGGGTAAGTGAGTTGCCCAAAGCCACATAGCCAGCAATGGTGGAGCTGGTCCTGGCAGACATCCCTGCTGCCTAGTCCAGTGCCTCTTAACAGCCACAGCCCCTGTGCCAAGGACTTCACCTCCCCAAAGACCCCGATGGGGCACATCCTATTATTAACCCACTCCACAGAGGAGGAAAGTGAGGCTCAGAGAAGGGCAGTGAATTTGCCCAAAGTCACCTCACCAGTAAGCAGAGACTAAGCCAGATCTGGCTTTGCCCCAAGTGCCCTTCTTAATGGGATACTCACTGTCCCTGAGACCCCCTGGCTCCATTTCACCCACTAGAACATCTCAAGCAGGCTCCTGCTAGCAGCCTGGACGTCTGCCAAGCAGAGGGGCTGCGGCTTTGGCTCAGAACAGGATGCTGACGAGGCACATCTGAGGCCAGGGCAGCCTGTGACCGGAGCTTCCCCCGGTTCTGACACACAGGAAACGGGGCTCAACAGGGATGAGAGATGAGCCAGAGCTGTCCCAAACCTGCATGTGAGTTCTTCAGATCCATGCCCCCTTCCTGGCACCCTTCCCCATCCAATTTATTCATTCTGGCCCCAAAGCCACAAACCCTAACCTGTATGGAGTGTGCTCATTAAAAACAGCTCTAGGCTCAAATCTGGGTTTAATCATACCTACCTGGCAATACCTACCTAAAGCTGTAAGAATTAGACCTAATAAATGCTAAATGCTTAGCACCGTGCCTGGCCCGCTGTAGGCACACAATATAGATCTGATGACTGAATGGATAAATGGATCCCCATTTTAAAGATGAGGAAGCTGGGGCCCCTGGTCACTCAGCATATGACTAACAACACTGGGATTGGTGCCAAGCTGTGATGGATCTGGGTCTGGGCGCTTGGCCACCATGCCACCTCCTGACTAGGCTTTTTGGGGGTGGAGGTGGGTGGGAAGAACTTCCACTGGCCTTGCAGA